CTTACTCACGTGCTCTCTTGCCTGACAGGCTGGAAGTCACTGAGGAGCGCCACGCCGTAGGAGTCACGTGGATGCCGGGGACGTGGGGAGGAGGAATGGGGTGGGTGGGTCCACTATCACACGTAGGGTTGCCAACCTCCAGGTAGTGACTGGCGATCTCCCAGTATTACAATTGATATGTTCACATGGGGAAAATGTCCACTTTGGAAGTTGAACTCTATGACATTATGCCCCAAATCCCGCCCTTCTGAGGCTCCACCCCCGAAATGTCCAGGTATTTCCCTATATGGAACTGACAACCTTAGCATGTGTGAAGATCACCTGTCTGATGCTGGGAGTTCAGTGGCTGGGATTGCGTGTGGTTCCCCCAACAGCATACTCCTCCTTGTACATTAAAAATATAACTAAACATGCTGGGATGAGACTAAGGCTGCCAAGTGGCATGAGGAAAAATGTCCTGACTTTTAATAGAGGCTTAATTCGATGTTATTTAGCGGGTGACTGATATTACTTACCTCCATGTCCTGAAAAGCTTCAGTTGCCCATTTCCAGACATTGTGTCTATTAATTTTTCCAGGCCTATTGGCAACTAGACCTTCTAGTCCAGAATACTGTTTCCACCAGTCAGATGCCACAAGGAAATCCAAAAGCAGCAGAGCCAGCTGGTGTGAACCCTCTGAGCCTGGCAGTCCCATTCAGGTATAATGGTTAACTGGCCTGTACTCCAAAAATGTATGCAACCCTCTTTTAAATCAATCTAAGATAGTGGCTATCATATGGCAGTGAGTTCCACGAGTCAACTAATCATTGTGTGAAGTAGTATTTTGTCTGGCTTGAATGAACTGCAAAGGAGTAGCTGGGTTAGTCAGCTGTAGCAAAGTAAAACAAAAGTCCTATGGCACCATAGAGACTAACAACGTTTATTTCAATATGAGCTTTTGTGAGTCACCACTCACTTCTTCAGGTCTTCGTCATATTTGAAATGGTGATGAATAGTGACTCACAAAACCTGACATTGAAGCAAATGTTGTTGGTCTTCTAAAGTGCCACTGGAGCGGTGACACAGGCAATACAACGCCTGCTTTAACAACCACTGGACTTTTATTTATAATCAACTGCCAGTCAGTTCCATAGGATGACTTCCAAATTCTAGTATGATGTGAGTGCTTCTTTATTCATGCTGTCTACACTTTGCCTAATTAATGTAGGCCTTTGCATGTGACCCCTCTGCCACTTTTTTTCTAATAGATCACTTGATTTATCCATATTTCCTTACTGTGCCAATTGATGACTGGCAACTGATTATGCTAAAGCACTGTATTTGAGCTGATGCCAACATTTTATATATTTATCTTTAAATCTTGTGAAGGTCCACACATATAAAGTCATCACTGGACTGCTGATCATGGGTAATTGTATTTGTCCAAAGTAAAAAAAAAACAAATCAAAACAACCCACCTAAAAGTCATTAATTCAATTAGATAGAATCATAGAATTGTAGAGTTGGAAGGGATCTCCAAGGTCATCTAGTCCAACCCCTGCACAATGCAGGAAATTCACAACTACCTCCCCCCCAAACACCCCTAGTGACCCCTGCATGCTCAGAAGATGACAAAAAACCTTCCAGGATCCACGGTCAAACTGGCCTGGAGAATAATTGCTTCCTGACCCCAAAGTAGCGACCAGCATTTCACTGGGCATGTAAGAAAGGGCCACGAGAACTAAGCACTGATGCAACCCTTTCTGTCCTCCCTTCTCATGATCAGTCTAAGTTCACAGAATCAGCATTACTGTCAGGTGGCCATCTAGCCTCTGCTTAAAAACCTCCAAAGAAGGAGAGCCCACCACCTCCAGAGGAAGCCTGTTCCACTGAGGAACCGCTCTAACTGTCAGGAAGTACTTCCTAATGTTTAGCTGAAAACTCCTTTGATTTAATTTCAACCTGTTGGTTCTGGTCCGACTTTCTGGGGCAACAGAAAACAACTCCACACCATCCTCTATATGACAGCCCTTCAAGAACTTGAAGATGCTGCATGAGGTCTGCAGTCAATCCTTCAATCAAACTGACATAGTTTGAACATATATCCAGTACACAGTTTGGGTCCAGTGGCACCTTTAAGACCAACAAAGTTTAATTCTGGGTATAAGCTTTCATGTGTATGACAAAGTGTGCCTGCACACGAAAAGGTATACCTAGCATTAAACTTTGTTGGTTTTAAAGGTGCTACTGGACTCAAACTTTGTTCTGTTACTTCAGATACATCTGTTACTCTAGTTTTGCCTGAAGGTTACAATGAAGAAGACGTGGAAGGGGTATGTCATTGCCTGTTTGGAAACGGGTGCCTGTTGCCTTCTTGACCCATTTGAATTGCATCCCTGAACTGAGAGCCCCTATGGTGTAGTGGTTAAGAGCAATGTTCCCTCTAAGCTGTGGAGTCTTGTGAGCAGAAATTCTACTTTGTGAGCTGCTGGCATTAAAGTTGTGAGCAAGCAATTTGGCCACTGCATAAATTGGTTTGCTCTGGAGCCATCTTTCCTGAGCTAAGACAAAAATGTGTGAGCCAGAGGCTAAAAAACTGTGAGCTAGCTCACACTAACTCAGCTTAGAGGGAACACTGGTTAAGAGTGTCTGTCATGTATCTAGGAGACCAGGGTTTGAATCCCTACTCTGCTATGGAAGCTTGCTGGGTGACCATGGGCCAGTCACACTTTCTCAGCCTAACCTACCTCATAGGGTTGTTGTGAGGATAAAATGGAGGAGAGGAGAATAATGTAAGCTATTTTGGGTCCCCATTGGGGAGAAAGGTGGAATGTAAATGAATTAAACAAATTAATCAACTAGATCTGTCCATCTGTCAGTCTGCACATCATCCAGAAGGAGGCTATGTTTGCCTCTCAAGCAATGTGTTTGCCACCCTTCTTTGGACCTGGTTCACTCAAGTCACACAGCATGGTTGCCCTTGACAGAAGATGGCATCACAGTCTCCATAAATGATGGACCACAGGTCTGACTCAGTATAAGGCAGTTTCATGTGTGACCATGGCAGGACTTATTTATACCCCCCACTTTTCTCCCCCGTGGAGACCCAAAGCAGTTTACAACAACATTCTCCCCTCCTCCATTTTATCCTCACAACAACCCTGTGAGGTCAGTTAGGCTGAGAGTGTGTGACATAAGAACACTTCCAGGTGGGTAGCCGTGTTGGCGTGAAGCAATAGAACAAAGTTTTAGTCCAGTGGCACCTTTAAGACCAACAACAGAAATCAAATCATTTTTACTGAACGTCTAAAGGCAAGGAGAGAATCACCGTGCCTGGGGACAAGAGTTCCCAGGATCATGGTGCCACCACCAAAAAGATTACCACTCAACAGTAGAGGAATAGAGGGCTTTGAAGGTGACTGAAGTTCAGGAGTATTTGGGAGAATATACAGTCAGTGCAGGGGGGGATCACTTGGGAAAATAACCTACATGTAATGGAACATACATTTGATTTTTAGATGCCTGTCTGCTACTTGCTGCCTTGCAGTGTCCGCATTCACAAGCGACACTTTCCAGATATGGGCTTTTCATTTTTTAGTCAGGAAGGGAAAGCGACTAAACTCTTCACTTCTATCCTGTCCCTCCTTTTTCAATTGACCATTTGGCACAACTCGAGAGAGGCCAGTTGCCTAGAAGCAAAACTGCTGGACTTTGCTCCAGGACTCACAGGTGTAGAGACTGTGGCTTAGTGGTAGAGCATTTGCTTGGCTTGCAGAAAATCCCAGGTTCAATGCTGGGATTTAACTGGGTATCTCCAGTTAAAAGAATCAGCTACTAGGTGGTGGGAAAGCCCTTTAACTATGATCCCGGAGAGCCACTGCCTGTCTAGACAATACTGTCCTTGATGGACCAAGGGTCTGATTCTGTATAAGGAGATTTAAAAAATAGGGTCATGGCTGATGGTACAAAAACAGGTAGAATCAGGGCTATTTTTGGGCAGGAACACACAGGAACGGAGTTCCGGCTGGCTCCCAAGTTGGCCACACCCAGCAGGAACTCATTAGCATAATAGGCCACACCCAACAGCAGAAACTCATTAGGATTGGCTACATTAGGGGTGTGTGGCCTAACATGCAAAGGAGTTCCTGTTACAAAAAAAAGGCCCTGGGTTTTGACAACAAACAAGGTAAACAGAATAACAAGCAAAAGATGGGTGTGGCTGGATAACCACACTTCTAGTAACATGTGGGTGTGGCCTAATGTACTAATGAGCTGTGCTGTCAGGGGTGTGGCCCAATATGCTAATGAGTTCCTGCTGTTTGGTGTGGCCTATTATGCTAATGAGTTCCTGCTGGGCTTTTTCTACAAAAAGAATTATTTTTTTCTGATGATCTGAGTATGACTCCAGTACCATCAGTCTGGCTTATGGGGGGTTTGAATTACATTATTTGCCATCTTTCAATTGGTTTTAGCTGTTTTTAGATTTAATTGTATTAATCTGGTGTTGATTGCTATGCACTACCTGCCCTGAGCCCATTTGGGAAGGGCAGGATATAAATGTAATAAATAAATATTTTATTACTCAATTAAATTCAATTAAATACAAGTATTCCCTATGTGTTTTGCCAACAGGCTTCAAAAGGGGAATCTCTGTAATATATAATAACAACACTGAGTTTACATAAGTGTAGTTAAAATTATGTAAACTCTGTATTGTTGTTACATATTACAGATTCCCCCGCCAAAATTTAATTGAGTAATAAAATATCTTTTACCTGATTTTGCATCATCGACCTTGGCCCTATTTTTTAATCTCCTGTGACTGGTCGGCTCTTTATTTTCCTGATTCAGTACAAGTCAACTTCATGGGTCGTCGGCCGCCTAACCCTTGCCAAGGGCTTTTTGGAAGGAAGCGTGAAAGCGTCACCCTCTCCTAAAACTACACCTCCCAGCATGCCTTGCAAAGGGAGGCGCCTTCAGCTGTAACTTTCCAGCTTGAGGCTGGTCTGGGGATCAGAAGTATCACGTTCCTTTTCTGTTTGGAGGAGCTTCGGCTGGTGTTTGTCGCTCCGGGCGGCTGCATCTGTGCGGGAAACGGTCTCATCGGCTTCCCCGGACTCTGCTGCAGGGTGAGTCAGTAAAGGAAGTTAGATTTTAGCAACAAGTTAGCGCCGTCCTTAGTGATTCTTTTGCCAACCAGACAAGATCGCGCACAGCAAATAAGTGAAGTTTGTGTCCGGGGGGTGGGGTGGGAGGAATAAACTGATGCTTCTTGTATTGGTATGTTTTAGTACAAGGGGAAGCGGATGATTTAAAACGTGACGTGTATTCAGGGACAGGTTTTGGAAAGTACAAATCATTCTGATTGTTACTGTAGAAATGCTGTTTGTTAAGTGGATTTTTATTCCCACCCTTTTCCCGGAGAACTCCGCGTGGCGTACATGGTTCTTCCCTTCTCCATTTTGTTCTCACAACAACCCTGTGAAGTAAGTTAGACTGAGAGAGAGAGAGAGTGAGATGGCCCAAAATCATTCAACCGGCAAAGTGGGGATTTGAACCTAGGTCTTTCAGATCCTAGTCTGACACTCTGCCTGCTACCAGGGATGTGTGCAGAGAAAGAACTCCTGTATTTGTAAACAGCAAAGAAACCTGCACACAGAGGACCCCTTGAACCCTTTTAAGAACTCCGATCGCTAGGCTACCCAATGGCTGTTGTTTGATTTCCATGTGCTCTATCCCTGGACTAAAACTTTCAATTGTCTGAAGGAGCGTGCATGCACACCCAAGCTTAAGCCCAGAATTAAACTGTGTTGGTCTTAAAGGTGCCATTGGACTCCAGCTTTGTTCTGTTGCTTCAGGCCAACACAGCTATCCAACTGAATCTATTTTCTATTATGATGTTATTCCACCTTTCCCCCAAGCAGTTTGGGAAGGTGTGTATGGTTTTCCCCTCCTCTGTTTTGTCCACATAAGGACCCTGTAAGGTAGGTCAGGCTGAGAGAGAGTATAGCTGACCTAAAACCACCCAGTGAGTCTCACAGCTGAGTAGGGATGTGACCTTGGTTCTATCTAGTTTTAGAACTTATTCCACACTGGCTCTTCTAATTTCACATGGGAGAACTTTTTTTAAAGCATAAGGGAGGGGTAGTGGCTCAGTGTTTTCACCTTGATAGTCCAGGCTAGCCTGATCTTGTCAGATATTGGAAGCTAAGCGGGGTTGGCCCTGGTTACTACTTGGATGGGAGATCTCCAAGGAAGTAAGTCACTGGATGTCCTGCAGAGTCAGGCAATGACAAATGACTCTTATTGGTCTCCGGCCTTGAAAACACTACAGGGTTGCCACAAGTCGTTGGTGACTTGACAGCAAAAAAATTAAGTGGCTCGGCGGTAGAGCATACAGAAGGTCACGCCTTTCTTCTCGAAGTAGGAAGCAGGAGATGTAGATCTCTGCCTGAGACTCTGAATAGCTGCTGCCAGAGTAGAAAATACCTGGACGGAGCAGTGGTCTGACCTGGTATGTGTCAAATCTGTGTGTTCATGTGTCTTCTAGGAGATAGGAGAAAAACTTACTCTCTGGTGAGTGACCCCCTCCCCTGAGATTCCAGTGTCCTGCTTGCATTCCTGGATTGTATTTCTTGGTCATATTGGCATATAAAGAATGTTGTGGGGTGGAACGTTGGCTTTGATGGATGTAGGTCGTCCCTTCTGTGCCTTAGCTGCCCTTCAAAGGACTGAGACCAGTTTCACTTTATCTTCCCAAGGACTCTGGAAGGTTGGCAGATGGGTAAGAACTGACCAGAGATCAGCCTTTTGACCATGCAGTGTTTTGAACATGAGTCTCTCTAGTTCACAGCACTCCAATGTTAATGTTGGCTGTGTCGGAAACGTTTCATACAATTTTATATCACAGTCAGTTAAAAAGAAACACCAGTTTGGTGTAGTGGTTAGGAGTGCAGACTCTAATCTTGGAGAACCGGGTTTGATTCCCCATTCCTCCATATGCACCTGCTGCCAGTCACAAGTTCTGTCAGAGCTGTTCTCTCAAGGGCAGTTCTTGAGAGAGTTCTCTCAGCCCCACCTTCCTCAGGTGTCTGCTGTGGGGAGGGGAAGGGAAAGGGATTGTAAGCAACTCTGAGACTTCTTCAGGTAATGAAGGGCAGGATGTAAATCCAGTCTCTTCTTCTTCTACCTTGTAGTGGGCTGTGACACTCTAGAAAGTTTTTTGGGGAGGGGGAGAATCCACAACCAAATAGATGTGCATATGAGCATCAGAGAGAGAATATGCACAGTTTAAAGATAATGTAGTAAAAAATTAGCTCTCCTCAAAATGATACTTATCCATGTGGGGAGGGTGGGGGGAATGGTTTCCTTCTTTCCAGCACTGAAATAGATCCAACTTCCAACAAGACAGTGCTCTCCCCCTAAAACATTAATTATAGATCTGTTACGTCTTAGGAGTCAGAACATGGTTCAGATGTATTTTTGACGCTGCAGGCTCTGCTATGCAACACGGTTAATATCCCTCAGACCTTTTCTGTCCACCTGTTGTGCTCTGCAGTAGCGAATTTGCAACAGATGTGCCTTCAGAGAGGAAGAAGCTGGTTTTCTCGGTCCTGAAAAATAGCAGCCATTTAGTGCTGGGAAGATGCAGTCTTGCCCTAGCAGAAGCGGTCTGGACAGTGCAAGGAATGAAAGATAAACAGCTGTGCATTTGTTGGGCCAAAGCTAATAATTTGAAAGGGGGCCTAAAAGACATTGGGAAAGTGAAACAGAAAGACCTGGCACAGTATCAGGGCTTGTCGGCTACAGAGTTCTCTGAATCAAATGTCACTTTAGTTACAAACCTATGAACACATACAGCTATTTTGTACTTCATCCATCAAGGTCAGCATTGTCTACTCAGACTGGCAGTGGCTCTCCAGGGTCTCAGGCAGAGGTCTTTCACTGCCTGGTCCTTTTTAACTGGAGATGCCGGGATTTGAACCTGGGATCTTCTGTATGCAAAGCAAAGGCTCTTCCACTGAGCCATAGATCCCCCTTAGTGATTTTAGGCAAACTGCATTCTCTCATCCTACCTTAAGCTGCCCTATACTAAGACCCTTGGTTCACTGAGTTCAGTACTGTCTACTGAGACTGGCAGCAGCTCTCCAGGGTCTCAGGCAGGTGCCTTTCACACCAATTGCAATCTGATCTTTTTGACTGGAGATGCCAGGGATTGAACCTGGGACGTTCTGTCTGCAAGATGCCCTGCCCCTAAACCACAGTCCTTCCCCTGATGTGATGTGGTAATCCTGTTGTCCCACCTTGCAGGACTGTTGTAGAGAGGCCTGCAGGTGTTGCGGCATGTGTATTTTGCATATATAAGGACCTGGGTTGGATCTCTGCCAGAGATATTAGAGAGCCATTGCCGGTCTGAGTAAAATGTTTTGGCCTAAACAGATTAGTGGTATTTTGCAAGGGAAAGCAGACGCCTGTGTTAGCTTTGCGTATGGTGCTTGTAGGCCACAGTAGGATCTGAGTTAAGCAATGAAGCTGTACATTGGGATCACCCTCTTTTGAATCTTGCTGCTGCTAGAAGCCCTCAAACAAGCTGTTCTTTCTCAGCTTTAAGTCTCCATCTGCAACATGGGGCAATACAGAGATTGGCCCTCCTTTCCAGTGTTGGAAGAACTGTTGAGAAGTGTTTTGGAATGTTCTTGACAGCTATGTAAAGGTTAGGGTTTATGGCCATTGCTGAGTCAGGAGCATCTCTGCAGATTCCTAGAAAATGCCACTGTTGGGCAAGTATATTTTGTACCTTAGGTTTCTGCACTGGATATTTTTCTAGTGGGAGACTATCTCCCCCTCCTAACCCTTAGCCCTCTTTGTTCCTCTGTTTATTTTTTCTCCTTTCATTTCTCTTCATCCTTGGATCCTGCTGCCAGTGACCTCCGGCTGATCAAAACAATCCGACCCATTTTATTTTGGAAGCCCACACAGGCCAGGCATGGGAGGCCGTCCGGTGGCCCCGGGGCAGGAAGCAAGTTGGGTCACCTCCTCTGAACTCTTGCTTCTCCCCCTCCCGCTCTTTAGCATCAGGAAGCGATTGCTGACTAAGAATACCTTGGCTAGGCGATCAGCTACTAGAAGGGAGGGGAGACTCTGGGGGACCCAAGAAAATATGCATTGGTGCTTACATTTTAAGGCCATAAATGGCTTCGGGTACTTGAAGGATCATGGAAATGAAACTGAAGGCTGTATGCTGGACTATGTACTGGTGCTTCTTGAAATCTTTATGGTGGATACTGGGGAAAATGGAACTGGAACATGGGAGGTGGATGGCAAGTCAACCAGAGACAGGGCTGCCCTCTGGCCTGGGGTACGAGGGCAAGTGGCACCTCTCCTTTGTAATGCCTTCCCATTTGAGCCTCACCTGGCCTGTATTTTACTGTCTCTTTCAGGCCAAAATGTTTTTTTGTACCTGGACTTCTAACTGTGGGGTTCCCTCATTTTTAGCAGTTTTTGTCCCCCACTCCTAGCCTGAAGGCTGTCTTATGGATATCATTTTTTTTTATGTTGTTGTTTTCATGCTACTTGTATGGCTTAATTTATTGCCGACTGTTCTTCCACTGTTGTGTTGGTGACTTCATTGCTGTTTTGTTTTTTTTACTTGGTGAGCTGCTTCAAGCTAGTCTCTGGTGAAGCGGCATTATAAGTGTTCTAAATGAATACATGCTGACTGTTTCGTTTAAGGGTGAGAGAACTGGGCTCTTCAAGGTCCCCAACGTTGCTGAGTGGAAAATGTGGAATCTTGAGTAGTGGGTGCCATTCCAAAAGGGAATGGGGGTTGGGGCTGACTCTTCGCTTTGGGGAAAAGATGCTGTTTGGTTTTGGTTTCCCAAAGGTTCCTGTGCAGCCAAAGAGGTTGCCAAGCCGAGAAACCTAAGAGATTCTGGGTTGATGGCTGAGCTGAGAATGTGTTACTGTCACTGTGCTGAATGAGCTCAGTCAGTTTGCTAGTCAGTCAGTGGGTAAGGAGCAACCTAAAACTCCTTAGTTCTTTTTTCCCCTCTGTTCCAAGGCCTTCTGGATTTTATCCCCAAGACTCAAGGCAGGCAGGCAGACACCAGGAAAAGCCCCTTTTCTGTGG